TGTTTGATCGATTTCACACTGAAGAAGTTGGTAGAATTCTTCTATTTCATCTTCACTGGCTTTAGTGGTTGGTGCATAAATTTGAATAATAGTGGCATTTCACTAGATGGCTTAATAAATGCTGGGAAGACTGCGGGTAATAGTCCCTGAGGTCGGCTCCCTAACAAGGCCCTGTGACTTATAAAACCTTTCCATAGAGTGTAGAGATCTTCCGATTACAAAACGTGTGGGTCAGCATCTGAGAGAAAATGTGTGGCCAGAACCAGAGAAGATACGTGGCCAGAAGCTGGCGTGAAGGCACAGATGAAGACGGCCATGGGTCAGGGAATGTGGGCAGCCTCTTGTTTGGTGTCGTCAGTGAGTTGGTTCCTACTCACAGCAACCTCATGTGCACCACAACGAAAGACTGCCCAGTCCTGCACCATCTCACCAAGGTTCTATCTGAGCCCACTGATGCTGCCAATCCACCTCTTCAGAGGTCTTTACTGACCCTGCACTTTACCAAGCATGATGTCCTTCTCTAGGGATGGTCCCTCCTAAGAACATGTCTGAAGCACTAATGGCAAAGTCTCACCATCCTGGCTTCTAAGAAGCATTCTGTTTGTACATCTTCCAACACAGATCTGTTGGTTCTTCTGGCAGTCCATAGTACTTTCAATATTTTCCTCCAACACCACAGCTCAAATGCATCAATTTTTCTACGGTCTTCCTTTTTCACTGTCCAACTTTCAATGTCAAGAAAACAAAAATCCTCACCACTGGACCAATAAACAACATTCTTATCAATGGAGAAAAGATTGAAGTTGTCAAGGACTTCATTCTTCTTGGATCAACTATCAACACTCATAGAAGCAGCAGTCAAGAGATCAGACGACGTACTGCACTGGGCAAATCTGCTGCACAGGAACTTTTTAAAGTATTGAAGAGCAGAGATGTCAGCTTGAGGACTAAGGTGCGCCTGACCCAGGCCATGGTGGTTTCAATAGCCTCATATGGATGCGAAAGCTGGAGAGTGAATAAGGAAGATCGTAGAAGAATTGATGCCTTTGAGTTGTGGTGTTGGAGGAGAATACTGAAAGTGCCATGGACTGCCGAAAGAACCAACAGATCTGTTTTGGAAGAAGTGCAGCCAGAGTGCTCCTTGGAGGCCAGGATGGCTAAACTTCGTCTCTCATACTTTGGACATATTGTCTGGAGGAAACAGTAGCTGGAGAAGGATGTCATGCTGGGTAAGGTGGAGGGTCAGAGAAAAAGAGGAAGACCCCCAACGAGATGGATCAGCCAGGTGGCAGCACTGATGGACTCAAGAGTGGCAGCGGTAGTGAGGTTGGCCCAGGATCGGACATTGTTTCATTCTGCTGTGCATGGGGTCGCTATGAGTCGGTTCCGACTCGATGGCACCTGACAACAACAACTTTCACATGCAGATCAGGCGACTGAAAATACCACGGCTTAGGGCTTAGGATGTGCCACATAAGTTTTCAAACTGGCATCTTCACTCTTTAACATTTTAATGAAGACTTTTGAAGCAGATTTGTCTAATGCAATAAATATATCTTTTGATGGCCTGACTGTTGCTTCCATGAATGCTGATTGTGGATCCAAACAAAATGAAGTCTTCCACAACTCTGATCATTTCTCCATTTATCATGATGCTATTTATTGGTCCACTTTTTTGTTTTCTTTACATCAAGGTGCTATCCTTACTGAAGGCTGTAGTCCATGATCTTCATCAGCCAAGTCCTCTTCACTTTCAGCAAGCAAAGTTGTGTCATCTGCTACTGAAGACTATTAATGAGCTTTCCTTCAATTCTCATGCCATGCTCTTCTTCATATAAATCAGTCTTTCCGATTATTTACTCAGCAGGGAGTCTGAATAAATATGGAGAAAGACTACAACCCTAGCACACACCTTTCCTGATTTTAAGTCATTCAGTATTCCCTTGTTCTGTTCTAACTATTGCCTCTTGGTTTATGTACATTACAATTATGTGTTCTGGAATACCCATTCTTCACAACACTATTCAAAGTCTGTTATGATGCACACAGTCAAATGCCTTTGCATAGTCAATAAAGCATAAATAAACATCTTTGTGGTCTTCTCTGCTTTGAACCAAGATGCATCTGACATCAGTAATGTTATCCCTCCTTCCATGTCCTCTTCTGAATCTGCCTTTTATTTGTGGCAGCTCCCTGTAAATGTACTGCTACTACCATTTTTAAATTATCTTCAGCAAAATTTCACTAGCATGTGATATTCATGATATTGTTTGATGATCTCCACAATCCAGTGAGTCATCATTCTGTAGAATGGTAACAACATGGATCTCTTCCAACCAGTTGACCAGGTCAAATCTTTCAGATTTCTTGGCATAGACAAGACTACATCAGTTTGCTGAACAATTTCAATTTGCATCCCATCAATTCCTGGAGCCAACACATTCAGTGCAGCTTGTACTTCTTCCTTCAGTA